GGGGTGGGAACTGAACAAGGGGCTCCTGCGTGCTAGGCAGTTGTGCCGCCATGGAGCAACCTTGGCTCCCTACGATTCTCCTGCCCCTGTGCCACTGGGTAGCTACCACTGGGCCCTTGCTCAAAGGTACCCTGTGAGCAGTTGGTAGGTTTCTGCAGATCAGGGAGCACGCGCCCTCCTTTGCCACGCAATCCCATCTGCCCTGCGTTACGGAGGAGGACCCTGATCTCCGAGATCATACAGCTGATTTCGAATCCTGGCTCCACTCCTTATTAGCTGTATCTCTTTGGGTCCGTGGCCTAAGTTCTCCGAGACTCAATTTCCTCGCCTGTAAAATGGGCCAGTAAAGTGCCTTACCTCGAAGTGTTGCCAGAAGATCCAGTGAGCTACGACCCCGCACTTTTTAGGACCACGCCTGGCACATGGTAACAGCAAAAATGTATTATCTGTTATCACTTAAAAGTATTTTGTTAGAGTTTATTGGCAGGGAAAGGACCTAGCTGCAGCATGGTAGTGGTGATGGTGATGTGTGGAAAAGAGAAAAATGCATTTTCTATGCCGTAGCTATATTTGGCAACAAGTCTCTCCGATTCTCTTGTAATAAAAGGACTTTGTTTTGCTCAGAGCCCCTTTGAGTCTCACAATAATGCTTATATATAGTGCCTTTTGTCCCGGAATCTTGGAGCAGCCCTGAAATCAAAACATGACAAGAGCTGGATAGTTGCAAAAATAAAAGCAACCATTTGCTTTTGTTTTTGAAAGAGCTCTCCTTCCTTTCCCAGTTTGCAACTTGGCAGCTGGATATGAACACGTATGTATATTAGACTTGAGTCTGTGTCTAGCCACCGACGACAATAAATGATGACAGCTGCTTGCAGGGTGGCTCCTGGAGACGGAGTGGTGTGAGAAGCACACCCTGTGAAGTGCAGGAGGACAAGAAGGGAGCAGAGTGTCTTTCATGAGTGACTTCCAAGAGCCACGATTTAAAAGTGTATCTCATGGAATCCCAACAGCTACTCTCATTCACAGATGAGAGGGGGCCTCAGCAAGGTGTATAATTTATACAGGATCACACAGCAATTAGGGTTCCAGACCCAGGTCTGCCTCATTCCCAAAACCTGCGTCCCATCACGTCACCACATTGCTTCTTTCTCTAAGGACATTGTTTTCACCTTCAAAAAGTGTGAAGCAGGATAAGGGAGGCAAGGTTCCATTGGAGTTTGGGAGCACCAGATACAACGTGGGAAGTGGAAATGAAGTGGGGGCAGAGGATCTGGAGAGAGTTTCTGTTTTAGCAAGCGCCAGGTATCCTAGGACTTCATCAAATCTAAAGCTTCATCAAGTGTCAAAAGTCCCATTATTTTGTGTGCTACTAATAAAGAAGCTATAAAACCACTGCCAATTATCATCAGCAATGGATTGCAAGACTTATCCTGATATTGGAGAGATTTAAATGTGAAAAGCCTGCGTCTTAGAAGTGATGAGAGATTGCATTTATCTGGGTCCGCTTCTCTCTGTATCAGACAGTCAAAGGTTAGTGCAGGACACAGTAACCACAGCAGGTATTTTAAGCTCGAAGGGATTTAATACAGGGGCTTAATCACTGAAGGGCAGGGCTAGCCAGCAGACGCTAGCTAGAACACTGCAGCACCGCACAGAGTCCCGGGGCCTCCACTTAGCTCTGACCTTGTCACATTTTCCAGCATCAGCAGTTGTGATTGACATCCAGCTGCATTTACAGCAGACAGTCGATATTCTGGTCACTAGTCGTGTGACCTTGAGCCGATCAGTTCATTGCTCCGGAGCTTGGTCTCTTTCTCTGGACACCAGGGTTGTATTACCTATCTTGCAGGGTTACTGAGACAGTTTTCTAAGAATGTGTTAAGTTCTCATAAAAATCTTAGTTACTAGAATTTGTGGACATACCTGGCTTTCCCACAGGATTATACATGGGTCAGGACACCACCCCTGTCACATGGTAAGTGCTTAAAAACAAGGGGGCTGGGTCAGTAGCAGCCAGGGACCCCTGAACTCATCGGTTCCTCACTCCTCTCTCATTTCCTCCCTCCCTCGGATTCCTGTTGAGCTGCAAGGACACCTTAATGCCTTCGCCCTAGATAGATCAAAGCTCTTCTCAGTTTGAGGAAGCAACTGTTCCCATTCTACAGATGAAAACGAGGACAAGGACTCTCGAACTGACTCCAAGGTGGAGCCCCGCCAGCTGGGCAGCCTGCCAGGGTGTGCTGCTTCCTAACCACTCTCTTGCCTGTTTGAACTTCAGGGATTGAGTTTCTGCCCCGGGGTAAGCATACCAACCCCCAGGCGCTTTCCCTGCGTGTCTTGTACATTGTGTACTTCTCCGAGCCAGCCTGCTGGGGCTGTCAGGGTGGCAGGGCTCCCACCCTTCTGGGCCTGACCGTGTGGCAGATCAATGCAGATTCCACAGATGGATCTTAAGCTCGGTCTGCCTTTGCTGGGCAGCTGGAAGACTGTTATTTACGGAGCCTGGCCCACTTCTGAGTTGCTCTGATCATCTTTGGTGACTTCTTAACCAGGACTCCCACTATCCATCTCTGCCAGAGTTCTCTACAAGTCTCCACCACTGTTCTGAAATGGTTCATCTAGAAGAACTGTCCTCACGCAGCACATGAAGCTGGGTGTAAAGGGGCTGTGAAAAACACACTTAGAAGGTGAAGCGGAGGACCTGGAATTGTTTAAATTCTTTGAGACATTTTCTTCCTTCCAGGAATTGGGGAGATAATGCATGTGAAAAAATACAGCACCTAACAGGTAGCATGGCCTCCTTAAATACTTGTTAAACCAGTATCCCTAGGTTAGTCCAATCCCCAGCTTGCAGGAGGTGCTGAGTCTGACTGTCCAGGTATTTATGAACACATGGCAGGATTGTACTCATGTCCCTTCTTCTCTGGTTCAACTCTCAATTCCAAAAGCCCAACCCACAGAGCATCCTGACTGGTCAATCTTCTGCATAACCTTGACCTTGATATGAAGCTATCAACGCTTAACAAAGTGCTGTCTGCAGCATTTCAGACACACTTCCTCTGCAAAAGCAGCTCGGACTGGGGTCCTGTGGGCTCTGCCCTGATAGGAGGTCTCTGCATGTGTGGGTGGTGTTGGAGGTGTTGGCAACTACCTTGAAATGTGCTGTGTTTAAGAAGCGTTGAACAGTAAGCCATCCTACTGAGGTGCCAGAGCCATGAGCTCCAGAATAAATACAGTCTATTCTCACCTTGGAACACTTCACTCACTGTGGTTGATTTAATTGTGCTTTAAGGCCAGCCAATTGTTAACCCAGTGTGGAAGGAAGGACCTTTCTTCTGCAGGTCTACAGTGAGGTTCAGGAAACATGGTCACACTGTAACAGATAAATCCTATTCCAAGTCTTCTTAGCCTGTGTGTGTGTGTGTGTGTGTGTGTGTGTGTGTGTGTGTGTGTCTATGCGCACAGAGTGTCTTTCACTGAATGGATTCTGGCCACAGAGTCTTGCTGGGGGATTCCACACTCATGAGATGTGTGAATCTTGAGACCTCTTTGCTGACAAATATTCATCGAGTGCCCTCCTTCTGCATGTGTTTCTGTCAGGGTCTCAGTAGAAAGCAGATGACACATTTGAAATAGGATCATTTAAACAGGGTTTATTTGTAATAAGACTGTTTAAAGAGGTGTGGGGTGGGAACCAGGAGGATGCAGTGATGACTGTGGCTCAGCAAGTCATGGTGTCACCACCTCCAGATCTGAAGCTCAAAGGGAGGGCTGATCCTGCAAACTGGAGGAGGGGCAGGCAGAAAGCAGTGACCTTTGGCTAAGACCAACTGGAGGCGCCTGGGACAGAGGAAACCAGGGGGAACTGATTAACCAACCCTTAGCTTTTCTTCCAGTCCTCTGTGGGGTTCCCCACTGGCTGAACACAACAGAAGCCAGGGAGCACAGGAATCTTGAAGTGGTTTGTAGGGAGTAGCCTCCGTGGGCAGAGGGCAGGATGGGAAGAATCTGGTGAGGCCAGGTATCTAGAGGGGCAAATGTTAAGACATCAGTGCGATGCTGCACTGTCCAATGGAAAGTCTTTACAGGTTTTGTGGGGACTGAAGCTCATGCAATTTTAAGAAAATCATACCAAAAAAAAATCTCCAAAGTGATGTATAAACACAGTTAAGGTTCTTCCCAGGGCTTTGAAACATATCATGAAAGAGAGGTCCTGACACTCATGCTTCATTGTAAATCTCCCTTTGTGTATGGTCTTGTGATTTTGACCTAGAACACCACCCCAGTCTGCAAAAAGCTTGTGTGGATATGCAGACTTAGAAAAGTGATTATAAATACAAGGCAAACTTGTACAAGGAAATTACATCTGAAATTTTGCAAAGGATTAGGTATACACTGAAACAGACTTTGAAAGACAGAATTTAGACACCAGGCAACAGGTGAGCAGAATAATAATAGTAAGGCCCTCTCAAATTTATTGAGCACCAAGTGCAAACTATTGCCTATACATTGTCTCATTTAATCCTGACAAAAACAGGAAGCCAAGGCTCACAGAGGTTAAGTAACTTCCCTTAGATTGCAAAGCTCTAAAATGGAAGAGCTAGAATTTGAACTGCATGTGGTTTCTTCCATAGACAGGCAAAGGCAAATTCGAGTGTTCAGGACACTCAGCCAATGGGGACATAGGTCTTCTTTTTCATCCTATGCTCTGTCAATACACTCAATAACTCTGAACACCGGCCACATGTACTTTGGTTCCTACCAGCGATAGTTCAGTGTGTGTGTTCAGAAGGTCGGAGTCAGAAACTGTGAACCACACTTCCCAGAAGCCCTAGGGGCCGGAGGGACGGCGCCCTGCTTTGCCGCCAAGACTCCAATTCCCAGCATGCAGCGGGCGCGCGGACCACAGCTCCCGGCATGCAAGGGAGACGGGGAAAACACCGCCCCACCCCCGTCCCGCCGCGTACCGCTCGCCCCGCCTCCTCCGTCGCTCAGAGCCAATGGGAAGGCTCCGTACTGCCGGGTGTAGAGGGGCCGGCGTCGCCGCCGAGTTGCGAGTCGGCGACAGCGGCGGGAAGTTCGTACTGGGCCGAAGGCGACGGGTCTGCGGCTCGGGGTAGGGAGGCCGCGGACGGTGCGGTCCTAGGGTTCGCGCGCCGAGCCGGGGCCCGGAGGCGGGCCGCCGGGCTGGGGCGGCGAGGGCATCGGCGGCCGCCTCAGACAGCACCGGCGTTCGCGCCTTCCTGGCCTCCCTCGCGGCCGCCAGCGCCCGGGGCACACTCAGCCCTGCACGGCCGCCGGGCCGGGCGACGGTGAACCCGGCCCCGTGTGCGCGATGGTGCCGCGTCCCCCCGGGCGGGCCAGGCCGCGGCCGGGTCTGGAGGGGAACGGGACGGCCGCGCGGCGCCGGCGTGCGCGTTCGTAGGGGCCTTCCCGGTCCAGGCCGAGGCCGCCGCTTCAGCTCGGCTTCCTGCCGCGCGGGGCTGAGCCCGCGCCGGCGCCCGCGGTTTTTACGATCGTCCTGACGCATCCCCCTCGGGTCTCTAGTTGACAGGGCGCCACCCTTTACTGACGTTCCAGGGCCGCACGTCGTTTTCCCGACTAAGTAGTTCGGGACAGACAGTCGCAGTGACAGAGACGCTAGTTTGAGGCCACCCATTCTTTTTTTTTTTTTTTTAACCCCTTTTAACATCTTTTCTTTCAAATCACCCGTTTTTCTGGACTCTTCACCCGCGGCGGCGGTGGGGAGGGTGGTGTCCCATTTCCATTTTATGGAACAACTTGGAAATACCAGTTTTGCTCCTGGGAGAATCGTGGGATTAAATTTAGGGGACTGTTGAAGAGCCTCATTAATTATGTGTTTCAGTTTTTTTTTTTTTTTGGACTGGATTTGTCCATCTGTTGAGTCTGAAATTAAAAAAAAAAAAGACTGAAAAACGTTGAAGGGCAGCATTTATTTTTAAGAGTTCAGAATAAAGGCATCGTGCTGTTTATGACATGCTGAGCATATCTACAATTTTAAAATAATTTCAGAAGCAAGAGATTTTTAATTTTAATTTTTTGTAGTTGTAGATGGACAGAATACCTTTATTTTATTTGTTGTGCTAAGGATCGAACCTAACCGTTCTGCCACCGCGCCAGCCCCAAGAGTTCTTTACATAGTCATTTTATGCGGATTATGTTTTGCTATTCAAAATGATATGTACTAACTGGAATTAAATTTATGGATAGATAAGATTGTGTTTGTCTGCTACCTATGTTGTAGAAGGGAATGTAACTTAAGTACTCTGTCATTTAATAATAGCTTTTCTCGGTTGTGTTGATGCTACCACAGATGGTATTTGTGCATCTTAGCATCGCTGATCAGATACAGTAGCAGAAGTAGAATTTAATAACAATAAGCTTGTGTTAGGCATTACTGTCAATTTAGTACAGTACCAGTATACAGTACAAATATCAGTTTTGTAGTGTAATGCCTTCTTGTTATGCTCAGTGCTGCAGAAATTATGAGAGGATATTTGTTAAACAAATGAGATAATGGAGTAATGTGTTAAGCATGGAGCCTGGCATATACTAAGTTAGTAAGTGCCCAGGAAATGGTTATATGGGAAGCTTATGCTAAGTTTTATTCCAGTATGCGAATGTATATTTTAAAAATAACAGTAATGCATTCAAAATGTTGACAGACCCTAAAATTAAATTTCTTAAAGGAAACAGGCCAACTTTTTTTTTTTTTTAAAGTTTAGAACTAATGTGAAATAGTAATAAAGTAACTGTCCCAGATGTCTAGGAAAGGAGAAGCAAGATTTTAATTTTGACAACTTTTTTTCCCTTTAAAGCATCCCTAATAAGATATACTATGAATAGGATTTTGATTAGAAAAATAAAACTTTAAAATGTCTTTTATTTGAAAAAATAAAAATTTGGAAATGCAGCAAAGCTTTGAAATTTACCTTACATCAAATGAAAAAAGGATGACTCCTGAATTTATGCAAATGTGCAAATGCTCTTATCTGCACATATCAGGCAGTGAGCCTTATGGGAATTAAATGCTGCTTCTTTGTGTGAGTGAGCGAGGCTTTCCTGAAAATTGGTCTTGATGGATTCTGAAAATGATTGGTAACTGAATAGGACTGGAGAATATTCTTCAGACTGGTTGGATGTTTTGTATACTTGCTGAGGTTATTTTTCAGAGTGAGAAAAAAGTGGATTCATTTATTCACTAGAGATCACTTGCCTACCATTTACCAGGAATTGCGTTAGGTGCAAAGTCTATTCTTGTCCTGTTTTGTTGAAGCAAATTTTCTTTGTTTTAAATTAATGTAGACTGTTCTTTTTGACTTTAGTTATTTAACTTCTGGCATACAATCAGCTGGTGAATGTATAAGGCACATTTGAAAAACTACAGTATTGGTGAAATGTAGAAAATGTGGAATTTTTATAGGAATGCAAGAATAAGTTAGAAAGGTTATAAATGCCTCACAAAGCATTTTGCTAGGTGCTAACCAATATGTATTTGTACTCTATATTTGGCCTTTTCAACCAAAGTTTCTGTGACTCTTCCTACTTGCCATTATAAGGAGGTGAAGAAGGTTATGCCATTGGATCCTGACCCACCTTGACTCCTGAATGATGATTTAAGTGCTCCATATTCTGAGGTTGATATTTTGAAGTAATTTCATGTGCTTTCTCAATTACTCTTGCTTCATCTCTCCCAATGTTGGTTCAAATCTTTGTGCTCAAAACTATACACATCCTTGTTCTGGATGACATACAGGCAGCATTAAAAAAAATTTCTATAGAGGTATGTAGTATCTTCCCCAGTTATACTAATATTAGGTTTTTAATATTCATCACTAAGTACAGATGGCAAGAAACTACTTTTACTAACATTCGTCAGTAAATTTGTTAAGAATTTTATTACTCATAGCATCTTTTTGTCAACTTTGAAAAAAAATTTTTTTTGTGAACGATATTTTTTATTTAGTGTTCAGGTAAGTATAGTCATGACTCACTACACAACAGAGACATGATTTGAGAAATGAGAAATATATCGTTTAGTGATGTGTGAATATTGTAGTATTGATACAAACTGACTGCTACCACGTCACTTTTTTAAAAAAATATCTATTTTTTAGTTGTACACAATACCTTTATTTTATTTATTTTTATGTGGTGCTGAGGATTGAACCCAGGGCCTTACATTTGCTAGGTGAGTGCTCTACCGTTGAGCCTTAACCCCAGCCCAAGCAGTCTTATGGGACTGCTTCATTTGTGTAATCCATTGACAGAAATGTCACTGTGTGGCACATGACTGTCCATGGATTTTGATGAGTCCTTGAAATAACTCCTATCTCTCAGTGGGTTTAACCCTAAAGAATGAGAACCAATGTTCTCGGATTTCAAAATTAAGATAAACATTCTTTACACTGGCATATTTTGGGATGATCATTAAACATATTTTAGGCTGGGCCTGGTGGCACTTGCCTGTAATCCCAGTGGCTCAAGAGGTCGAGGAAGGAGGATTGTGATTTCAAAGCCAGCCTCAGTAACTAGCAAGCCCTAAGCCACTCAGTGAGACCCTGTCTCAAAATAAAATACAAAAAAAGGGCCAGGAATTTGGCTCAGTGGTTAAGTGCCCCTGGGTTCAATCCCCAGTACCAAACAAACAAACATAAAAACCCCAACAAAAACATACACTAAAATGTTTACCAGTAAGTTGTACATTAAGTGTGAAGATATAATTGAATTGCAAAGTAATTAGTTTGAGATTCAAGAATGTTATATGTATTTAAAGTAAATATACTTAACATTGGAAGGAAACATTCATCTTAATACAACTCAGTATCAGGAACATAATGGTTGCACAAAGAGCTAAAAATAAGAATTGAAAAATTATTAGGACTGAGGACAGTACCATCCTATTATAAGACCTTTTTTGAAGTCTTATAATTTTTTTTTTGTGCTAATTTTCTCCTTGTGGACTGCCAGTGTACCTACTGTTTGCATGTGAGCCACTATGTCTGTGCTAGACTTAGCTCCTTGTTTTAAGAACCCAGACTGCATTATATAATTGTTAGTTTTATCTCATAGCCAAGATAACTACACTGTATTTCAGGTTTTTTTTTTTTTTTCTCAAATTGTTTACCATGTGTCAGCGGAACTCATATGTGTGTCATCTTTTGATGATTATATATTAATGCATTGGGATCACATTTCACAATACTAAGTACTAGAAAGTGCTGTTGAAGTTTTAGTCTTCATAAACTGGAAGAAGAATGTTTACTGTTTCTACTATGGGCTTACATGTACTTCACCTTTTTTTTTTTTTTTTGCAGTTTGCTATATGACCATAGCTATCAATGTACAGATGATTATAATTATAAATTTTATACAAATATCATAAATTGTAAATTACCTGTAGAGGTCTTAAAAAGTATCGGAACCAGAAAAAAATTTTAAAAAATTTCTGTTTTAAAAATTTTAAGGTTATAAAATTTAGGAGACGATCTAGTTTTTTTTAGGCTTATGGAAAAAATGTTAGAAATCATGACTATTATATTACCTCTCATGTGTAACATGGGAATGTAAATGTATAGGTATAGTCATTCTTGAAATTAGATTGGCAGTTACTCAAAAAGTTAGGCATACTTTTAACATATGAACTAGCAAGTGTACTGCTGGGCATTTATCTGGAAAAATTAAAAACTTGTGTTTATACAAAAACTTCGTACTAGCCCCAAACCAGCAACAGCCCACATATTCTTCTCTGGGTGAATAGTTAAATAAAATGCGGCATAACCCTAATAGCAGAACAATACTCATCAACAAAAGTAAATGATCTCTTGATAGATGCACCACAATTTGGATGGAGTTTATGGGCTTGCAGGAAAAAAGTGGAAAAAGTGAAATAAAAACAATCTTCAAAAGATCTATGATTATATGATTCCTCAGCAGAATGGAATGAGTGCAAAGCCAATAATCAACCAGAAGATAAAGGAGAAGAGAGGGGTTTCTTTCTTTTTTTTTTTTTTTTTTGTGGTGTTGGAGATTGGACCCAAGGCCTTGTGCATGCAAGGCAAGCACTCTACCAGCTGAACTATATCCCCAGTCTGG